AAGGTCTGTTCTTCCAATCTACCATCCATACCTTTATCTATGTTTTTATATGAATAGTATGTAGTATTTTTTTGTCTTAAAAAGTTTACATAAATGGATAGAAAATCACCATTAGAACACTGTAAAGTGTTACAGGCAAGACCCACTGATAGGTGCTTAATGGTTGAAAGTTTGAGGAAAACCAGGATATTTGCATAATCTCAAAGTATCTCCCCTGAGATAACAATTACAAAAGTAAAAATAACTTTACAGTGAGAAACCTGGCAAACACTATCACAACCAAATGATCATGGTTAACACCACGAGTAATAACACATTTTGATGTCATGTACCTCTTCAATATGATATACTGAGAAGAGTACATCACTTCCATAATATTCTTGCCAAAAATGTATAGCCTTAATCTAATCAAGAGGGAACATTGGACAAGCCTAAATTGAGAGAGATTCTCAAAGTAATGGACTAGTTCTCTTCAAAAGTGTCAAGGTCATGAAAAATAGGGAAGACTGAGGAACTGTCACAGATTATAGAAGACTAACGCGACATGATGACTAAGCTTTACTACCTTCCTAAAATTGTACCAATTTATTTATTTATTCTCCTAACAGCAGTATATGAAAATGCCTATTTCATTCTTGTTAGTATCCATGCTCATGATAATTCAACAATGGAAGAACAGAAATTAACAGTTTTCCTTGGCACTTTGGATTAGGTGTCTTTTCTGACCATAAAATATTGTCTTACAGAAAAATGGCTACTGGACAGGACCGGGTAGTTGCCCTAGTGGACATGGACTGTTTTTTTGTTCAAGTGGAACAGCGGCAAAATCCTCATTTGAAGAATAAACCTTGTGCGGTTGCACAGTACAAATCATGGAAGGGTGGTGGGTATGTATCATAGTTATTGTAACTGTCAGCTATTTTATTCTATAAGAATACATGGCAGTATGTTAGGTCCTGTTTTTGAGATTTCTGAACTGCGCTGTTTGAGATGGAATAATGGCATCTGTGACCAAAAAGTTTCTACTATTATGTTTATAGCCCGTTCAGTTAAATTTTAGTTATTTTTGTTTGTGATCGTGTAATATTTTTCTGTTTCTCTTTTTTTTTCCTAACCTTAGAATAGTTGCAGTGAGTTATGAAGCTCGTGCATTTGGGGTCACTAGAAGCATGTGGGCAGATGATGCTAAGAAGTTATGTCCAGATCTTCTACTGGTACAAGTTCATGAGTCCCGTGGGAAGGCTAACCTCACCAAGTAAGAAGAAAAGATTGTTTAGGGGAATGGAAGAATTGGAAACAATATTCTGTGAGCCTGGGAACTGATGTTTCAAATTTGTTTTGTATAATTAACACCTGACAAAGTTCCTTTGCACAGCCAGCTTTATTCTCTGACATGAAAATAGATTTGGTACTGTTTCAGGAACAGTGCAGAGTCATTACAGCCTATAACAATTGCTGCCCTTAACACCCTTTCAGTTCCTTAATTGTTTAAGAATTGGTGTTAGAGTTAAAACTTAATACCAATTTCCATGTTCTTAGGCCAAAAGTCTGAAATGTTTGAAGTAATTAAATTGACTGAAACTAACCTCTTCCAGAGAAGGATGAGTCAAACTGACATTATAGTGCAGTATCTAGAATTACTTGTTAGAACTGAACAATCTCAAAGGAGATTACCTCTGTGTTTGAAGTGAGCTGTCGCTCCCCAGATTGTAGGACATTAGTCTATATGGGCATAGCTAAGTTAGAGGTTAAGTACAAGCTCCAGCCATTATAATAATCCTTATAAATAGTATATATTGAGCATTTGTCCTATGCCAGCCTGTACAAACTCTCGATAGGCAAGATCTCTTAAATCTCACATTATTGTAAGATAGGTTCTAGTATTACCCACCCCCACCTCCACAAAGAAACAAGTTTAGAGAGGTTAAATAATGTAAGTTTACACAGCTAGGAGATAGAAAACTGAGGATTCAGGGGTTTTTTTAGATTTCAGTAGCCACATTCTCACAGTATATTCTACCATGTAGTGTGGTGTGTAGGGATCATGATTTGACTTAAGACTTGAGAATTCACCTATGAATTACAAGTCTAAAGGTGGTGTGCCATAAGCAACTTCACCTTCGAGTTATTGTCAGAAGAGAAGACAGATTTGACTGAAGATTAGTATCTTAACCCTAAAGTAAAATTAACTCAGCTAATGGACATATGCTACACTGCATTGAAAAAATTTTATGCTGGTAAAGACAATGTAACTTCCCAGAAATATAGTTGACTTCCGAGTATGATTTTGAAAAGCTGCATGCTTTAAACTGGATCATTTATTTTCCTTTGAAAATCTTCATCAAATGGGACACCTGG